GTGTTTCATGTGTTTTGAAATATTTTCCCCACCACTAATCAAGGACGATGACAGAGGCACAGGAATCGGGTGTTAAAAGTTGCATTAGAAAACTCTCCTTGGTGATGGGCCTGTTCACTAATTAGATTGGGTGAACGTTTCAGCTTTATAACATAGAAAGAGTGAAATATTTTATACATGTGCGAATGTTTATTTGTACTATTTGCCATGTTTTGGATGTGGTTTGTGTTTGGTGGGGTCCAGTGAAAGGTGATTAGGTCACCCATAGAGGGGACCTTGGCTACTCTGGAGGAGTTAGTTCTCCAGAGAGCAAGTATTTATAAAGTGGGGCCATCCCACGTGCTTGACTTTTCCTGCATGCAGCTATTTTCTTTCCTGTTTCTCTGTGATGTTGTGTACAACCCAGCAAAGGGATCCTTATTAGAGGCTAAAAAGATGAGGGCACCTGATCTTGAACTTTCAACCTCTGAAACTGTGAACTAAAATGAACCATTTTTTTTCTTTAATAAAGACCCCGTCTCAGATATTTTGTTATAATAACAAAAGTGCAAAAACATACCATTTCTCAATAAGCCTTTTTTAAATGTATTGATACCCCTAAACATTCCATTCAAATATATAGCTATCCCTATTCATTCTGTGCTGTTACCCTAACTTCATGAATTGAGCCACAATCCATGAGTTTTCTTGATTAACCCATACTGAGAGCCATAGCTAAGTAGGAATGACGCATGGCAATTTCTTTGTCAGCCTACCCCATGTTGCTTAGAGGGAGGACTCTCCATTGTGGAAATGGGCTTGCCTTGGACCCAGGTCATTTGCAGTGACATTGCATGAATGTTTTGAGAAAGGTGACCCTGCTCAAGGACCAGGGTGGACTCGGGTTTAGGGAGGATCCTGCTGGATTAGGGTGAGTCCAGGTTTAGGGTGTATCCTGCTGGGAAAAGGGAGTATCCCGCTCCTTAGGTTTAGGGCGGTTCCAAATTTAAGGTGGACCCTGCTGGGAATAGGGCGTATCCTGCTGCCTCAGGCGCCCGCCCACTCCTTGAGTTCCCATTGAGTTCTCTCGGGATTCAGAGAGTATTTTGGGATGCAGAGCCCAGTGGAAGTGTGGATTTCCCCAGAACGTGCGTGTAGAGTGCGGTGAGAGTTCGAGAATAATAATAATAATAATTGCTGTTTGAATCTACAAGGTGTAAGTGGCTCGTGATTTTGTGCCCAACCAGACTGCAGCAAACCCACAGTATCATTCATAATAATAATAAAAACAGATTGCTGGCATAAGATTATTTTTAAAAAAATAAATAAAACTATGAATGAAATAAGACAGTTTACCATTATGAAAGACAAAAAGACACCTAATCAAATCATGTTATATTTTTGACTAGAAAGGCAGTTCAAACTATTAAAGCAATACTAGTTAGTCCCATTGAAATTCTACTGTTTGACAAATATGCTGTAAATTTTTATGATAAAATTAAGTTCTAGGAATAGTACATATCATTGAAAGGAAGAAAAAAGATTCTTATAAATTGCTCTTCTTGACCTCAAGAATACTTAAAGGAAGGACAGAAATTTTTTAAGTAATAAAACAACACAGTGTAGGCACAGGGATAGAAAAAAATAAAAAAGTAGAAATTTCGGGATATGTATTGCTGATGACTAAATAATATATGATACATGCAAGATAGATAGATAGAACCAAAAGATGATTTAGGATTCCTGAATAACTGTCAAAATTATGTAAATGTTCCAGAGAAGAGGGAAGGGGAAGACCATGGGAATTGTAGAGATAATTTTGAATTTATCAAGAATTTTTCTTCTCTTTAAAAATTAAAAACTATTAAAAATCTTGTTAATTATCTGTGTTGGTTAATGTGATTTATTTTAATAGACCATGGAATTTTAAAATCTTTATAACACCAATTAAAAGACATAGTCACAGCAAAGAGGGACTGGCTGAAGAGTCTTTTCCATAGTTTTAATAGCCTTAGAAAAGGAGAAATCAGGTTTTCTTCTAGAGGAAGCAAAAAGGAAAAAAAAATACTCTAACATTAGAAAAGTTAGGAGCAAAGAAATCCAAAATAGAAAATGCTTAGCAACTATCTGTATATTTGCAAGATAGCCAGCAGAATAAATGTTAAACTCCAAAAGAAAAACACCTTCCACGAAGATGAGAATATGCAACCTGCATAACTTTGACTATGTTGATGTCAAGTAGACAAATAATCCTCACAGAGTCGGGCCACTATCAGTGTTTTTAAACTGCCTTTAGATCATAAAGACTTGACAGCTCCCACAGCCTGAATGATCCCTGCCAAGCTAGGATCCAAGATAGATGCATGACAGAGGAGAGATGGGCTTTTTTTCCCCAATTGGGAGAATGAACTGATTGAACTTGCAGGATACTTATTTCTATCACCTTCTTTCCAAAACTTGATGCATAGAATTCATAAGAATCATCCCACTCTCTCACCAACTGCGAATAGATTCATGAAAACCTCAGTCGACCTCTGTTAACTTTCACTTAAACTCTTTCAGTTTACTTGGTCTCCAACATGCAATCTTGTTGGACTCAAAGTATTAATTTGGCCGACAGGAAGATTTTTCTAAATTGAAAGTGAACTTCAAGAATCTGTTCTATGAAAGAGTCATATTGCCTTAGGAAATCATTAAAGGAGGAAAATAAGCACAGCACATAAAAATTGAAATGCCACAATTCTTAACATTTATTTATGTTAAATAAATAGAGGAGGTAGGATGAGAGTGCTTGACTGAGAATTGTAGATGTGATTTTCCAGATTGAGAAACTGACATGTTGAAACTCAGGTGGGCAAAAGAGATAAGGCAAAGACACTTTTCCATGAGAGGAGATGGTAGTTTTGACTGGCATGGTAACAGTGAAGGGGTGAATACATGGCAGGTACTGAGTATATTTCGAAGATAGAGGAGACAGATTTTGCAAATGAACTGAACATAGAATACAAAAGAAAAAGAGAAGTTGACTATATTACAGTTTTTTTCTTGAACAGCTGAAGACGGTGGAGTTATTTCTCATGAAGAAGTTGAAAAAAGGAACTGACCATGTCAATCAATGCAAAAATTGTTGGACCAAGTCCAACAACAGCTAATCACCATAAAAATTCTTAAGAAACTAGGAATAAAATGTGCTTCCTCAACTTAATAAAGAACATCTACAACGGACATCAATGGTAAGGGAAATATGAAGCCTTTTATGGTGCCAAAAACATACACTGGAGAAAAGAGAGCCTTTTTAACAAACAGATCTAGGAAAACTGGTCATCCATATGTAGAAGTATAAGACAACATCTTGATCTCTCACCCTGTTCAAAAATCATTAAAATGGATGAAAATCTTAGAAATTAGTCCAGAAACTACACAACTCCTACAAGAAAAGATAGGGTCAACATCCCAGTATATAGGCATAGACAAAAAATTTCTCAGTAAGACCACTACTCTCAGAAAAGAATACCAAAAATTAATAAATGGGATGGCACCATATTAAAAAGTTTCTTCACAGCAAAGAAAAGAATTCAGAATGTGAAAAGACAACCTATAGAATGGGAGAAATTCTTTGCCAGCTACTCCTCTGACTGAGGAGTATTAATATTTAGAATATATAAAGAACTCAAAAAACTTTACAACAAAAAATCAAATAACCCAATTAATAAATGGGCAAGTGAATTAAACAGATATTTCCCAAAAATGACCAACAAATAGAAGAAAAAATGGTCAACATCATAAGCAATTAAGAAAATGCAAATCAAAACTTCACTGAGGGGCTAGGTATGTGGCTCAGTGGTAAAGTGCTAAAGGGCTTGCCTGGCATACATGAGGCCCTGGGTCCAAATCCCCACGCACCAAAAAAGAAAAAGAAAAAGAAAAAAAAACTACACTGAGGTTTCATCTCACACCAGTCAGAATGACAACCATCAAGAATACAAATAATAATAAATGCTTCAGAGGATGTGGAGAAAAAGGAACACTTTTATAATTTTGATGGGATTATAAATCAATACAACCATTATGGAAATTAGTTTGCAAGTTCCTCAAAGGATGAGGCCTGGAACCACCAAATGACCCAGTGTTACCACTCCTTAGTATGTATCCTGAAGAATTAAAGTCATCATACTACAGGGATACAAGCATACCCACAATCATCAGACTATGGAACCAGCCTGGGTGTCCATCAACAAATGAAAGGATAAAGAACATGTAGCACATATACACAATGAAGTTTTATTCAACCATAAACACAAACGAAATCTAGGTCTGTTCCCACACACCTGTTACCCCAGCAGCTCAGGAGCCTGAAGCAGGAGGATCTCAAGTTCAAAGCCAACCTTGGCAACTTAACAAGACCCTAAGCAACTTAGCAAGACCCAGTCTCTAAATAAAATATTGTAAAATGAACTGGAAATGTGACTTAATGGTTAAGCACCCCTGGGTTCAATTTCCATTACAAAAAAAAAAAAAACAGTAATGGAGAGAAGATGTTGGTACTTTTGGTAGTTTTAATGAATAGGGTTGTCAGATATCCCTGAAAGTCCACCTGAGGTTAGTGATTATCAATTTAAAATAAGGTCAGTCAGCATTTTTCTCCAATCTTAATCCCTTGCCTGGCAGAGTCATCAACTAAGAGCTGGATGTCTTCTGCCATAGGAATTTTCCAAACTAATAACAAAGGAGGGAAGGGACTCAAGGGACTTTAAATCGTAGGCAAAGAAATAATTTACAATCATGCAAAATGGCATCTAAAGGGAATTCAAAGTAGAAAATGTTTATCATTATGAGAAAGTAAAGGTGGATTATAAGTCCCATTGAGGTTGAAGGAGTGTTGAGAGTCCAGACATTAGAGAGAGTGATTTAGATAGATAGGAAACATTGGTCAAAGAGTGACATTCTTAGAATTGACATCACAAAGAGGAAATGAATTACTTCTAATGGCAGATGGAGAATCTCACCATAGTCATCCATGGAACAGATCACATGACACACAAGTCACTGGAGAAAGGAGCACGGGGACATGAAGAAATCAAGATACTGGAAGGATCACCTGTGTGGATACTGAAAGATCTAGAATTATGACAGGTGTGTCAGAGAGCAAATGGTCCTCAGCAATGTGAAGAGTAGCAACAGGTATGGTGCTAAGGAAGGCTGGTGAGCCATATACACTGGGCCTTGTTAGGAAGACAGAAGGGACAATAGTGTGGCCATGGCATGAGAAGCATGTTCTTCCATATCTAGTGACATAGGGTTAATGAAATAAAAATAGGTCCAGTTGCTAGAGCTAAAAGGGAAGCAGTATCCTCAGGTTAGTGTAAGTTGTATGAGGGTCATAAGGAACTTAATGTTGATGAACCAAGGGCCCTCGAGGGTTTTCGGAGTCAGGGAGGGATAGAAGATAGGCCTTTCATCCATTTTGGTGGATTTTTGAACAGGGTGAGAGATAAGGGTGTAGTCTTATACTTCTGCATGTGGGTGACCAGTTTTCCCAGATCCATTTGTTTAAAAGGCTCTCTTTTTTCCAGTGTATGTTTATGGTACCATAAAAGCTTCATTTGATTCCATATCCAGTCTTCCCATAGGAAGACATCCATAGTGTTTTCTAAGAAAATATATAAAATACACAATTCCAGAAAATAGCCCTTCAATCGTAAACAAAGAAATCTGTATTCTATCCCTTTGGAAAGCATTTTTCCCTCTTGAAATAAAAATGCTATTTCAGATGAGTGGCAAGTTCTCAGAAAATGGTACTTCTTTAAAAACATAAAAAGGCCCTTTTATTTGTTCTTCAAACTAGTGTATATAGTGAAGAAACTGTGAAGTCAGCCAGAACTCATTTCACTTTCCCAAATAACACTAAGCCAAAGTGATGGTTTTCTGATTCTTCGTCTTTACTTTGAATTTCAAATTAAAATCTTTTTTTTATTGGTTGTTCACAACATTACAAAGCTCTTGACATATCATATTTCATACATTAGATTGAAGTGGGTTATGAACTCCCATTTTTACCCCAAATGCAGATTGCAGAATCACGGCGGTTACACATCCACAATTTTACATAATGCCCTATTAGTAATTGTTGTATTCTGCTACCTTTCCTATCCCCTACTATCCCCCCTCCCCTTCCCTCCCATCTTCTCTCTCTACCTCATCTACTGTAATTCATTTCTCTCCTTGTTTATTTTCCCATTCCCCTCACAACCTCTTATATGTAATTTTGTATAGCAATGAGGGTCTCCCTTCATTTCCATGCAATTTCCCTTTTCTCTCCTTTTCCCTCCCACTTCATGTCTCTGTTTAATGTTAATATTTTCTTCCTGCTCTTCCTCCCTGCTCTGTTCATAGTTGCTCTCGTTATATCAAAGAAGACATTTGGTATTTGTTTTTTAGGGATTGGCTAGCTTCACTAAGCATAATCTGCTCTAGTGCCATCCATTTCCCTGCAAATTCCATGATTAAAATCTTAATACTAAATGTATAAACAACAACAACAATAGTTAAGCTGGATTTAATCAAATTAAATTAGAATATATCATCAAGAAATTGAAAAGACAACCTACAGAATAGGACAGGATGTTTGGAAATCACATAACTCTAAAGTTCCAGGATCCAGAATATATTTTTAAAAGGAAAAAGAATAAACTTACAACTCAACAACAAAAGCACAACCCAATTAAGAAATAGGCAAAAGACTTGAATACATCTCTCTCCAAATATTTATATACAAATGGCAAAAAAGAAAACCCAATAAATAAAAGATACTACAACATCGTTAGTCTTTGGGAAATGCAAATCAAAACCACAGTGAGATAGCACTTCCTGTGGTCTAGCAGGGCTACAATCAAAAAGACAGACAATAAGAAGTCTTTGTTGGGATGTGAATGAAAATGATATAGTCACTCTGAAAACTGACAGGTCCTCAAAAGGTTAATCATGGAATTATCACATGATTCACTCATTTCTACCAAAGAAAAATGGAAAAAAAGTCCACACAAAAATTTGCACATGGATGTTATAGGAGCACTGTTAACAATAACCAAATGTAGAACACAGAAAATAACCAAATGTTGTCTTCTTTCATTTTCTGATGCTATAATGAAATATCTGAAACTAAGTAATTTATTAAAAATAGAGAGATTTATTTGGCATACAATTCTTGAAACTGGTTAGTTTAACAACCTGGTGCTAGTATCTGATGAAGTCTTTCTTGCTGCATCTTAACATGGCAGAAGGCATCACATGGTGTGAACAAGGAAGAATGCCAAGGAAAGTTCACTTTTATACTAAAACCATTTTCCAATAACCCATTAATCCAAAAAAAAAAATCTAAGAATATATTGATTACATTCAGCTGTCATGAGCCAAATGTCGCACCTCACAACTTCCATATATGGAAGTTGTACATATATGACTTTGATCTTTAAGTTTCCAATACATGAAATTTGGAGGACACATTATATATAGCAAGCATTCATCAACTGATCAATTACTAAATGCAATGTGATATAGTGCAATATTTTTCAGCCATAGAGTATGAAGTACTTGGATCCCCAGAATTGGTAAGAAGATTATTTTAAACTGGAAACATTTCAGATCAAATGGATGCTGATCAAAGCTTTTCTGGAGCTTTTATTATCATTCTAGAGCTTTTATTATCATTCTGGAGCTTTTATTATCATGTTAGAAATGGAAACTTCATGGAATAAGTTTTCCATTGCTATGATTTTTATCTTGAATTTCCCCCAAATATTTTAAGGCTGTATTTCTTATTTCGTTTTGCATTTCCCCAATGATTAATGATGTTGTAGTATCCTTTATGTGATTTTTGATCATCTGTGAATAGTTATTTGGAGAAATGTCTGTTCAAATTTTTTGCCAATTTCTTAATGTGTGGCACCATTGGGAGGTGGTGGGATCTCTAGGAGGTACAGAAGGAAGTTTGTTTACTGGGGCATGCCCTTGAAGGAGGTATGGGTACCACAGCCCCTTTCTTCTCTTCTTTACTTCCTGGATGTCGTGAAGTAAGCAATTTCTACCACCATGTGCTCCTGCCAGGATGTACTGTGCCACCACAGGCAATGGTACCAAGTGACCATAAACTAAATAAACCTTTCTTTTTTTAAGTTGTTAATCTCATGTTTCTCACAGTGATGGAAGTTAACTATAACACAGCTATAAACCCTCTTCTCCAGGGAAGTTTCACAATAAGGAAAATATGAACAAGATCACTTGAACCTACATAAATACACATTATCACAGATTTTATCTCTCATTTATTCCTCTAAAAATCCATTTACCTTTTCTAAAGAAACTTTTTGATCTGCCCACAGAAGACCTTTCTTCCCTCCCCCTGTCCTCTGTTAAAGGTGGTATATAAATCCTATCTTTAGATGTTCAGGAGCCACTTTATCTGTTTGCTCACATATGCGTACAAATAAACTATGCCAATTTTTTTTTTGGCGGAGGTGGGGGCGGGTAATTGAGGATTAAATCCAGAAATGCTTAATCACTGAGCCACATTTCCAAGCCTTTTTTATTTTTTTTTTTAATTTTGAGATAGGGTCTCACTAAATTTCTTAAGGTCTCACTAAATTGCCAAGTCTGGCTTTGAGCTTTGGATCCTCCTGCCTCAACCTCCTGAGCCCCTGAGATGTCTTTTCTACTGTTAATCTGCCTATTGTCAGTTAAACCCTTGGGCTCCAAGCACTGAACCTAACCTAGAGGAAAGATTTCCTACTGACATCGCAATATGGATGAACCTTGAAAACATAATACTAAAGGAAAGAAGTCATACAGTGTGATTTCATTTTTGCAAAATATCCAAAATAGGCAAATCCACAGAAACAGAAAGTAGATTGGCGGTTACGAGGAGATTGGGGGAAAGCAGAATGAAGAGAGGTGGCTTGTGGGTACAAGGTTTATTCAGACTGATAAAAAATTTGGAATTTAAGAGATGGTGGTTGCACAACTTTCTGAATGTACTGTCACTCAGTTGCTCACTTTTAAATGATTCAATTTCTTTTATGTGATTTTCACCTTAATAAAAAATTTCAAGAATTTAACTATAGCTCAGTTATGTTGAATTTTTTTTAAGAGAGAGAGAGAGAGAGAGAGAGAGAGAGAGAGAGAGTTTTAATATTTATTTTTTTAGTTTTTGGCGGACACAACATCTCTGCTTGTATGTGGTGCTGAGGATCGAACCCGGGCCGCACGCATGCCAGGCGAGCGCGCTACTGCTTGAGCCACATCCCCAGCCCAGTTATGTTGAATTTTGAGTGAAAGACTATTATGGTTTAGCTATGAGGTGTCCGGAAAAAACTCATGTGTAAGACAATTCAAGAATTGTTCAGAGGTAGAATGATTGGGTTGTGAGAGTTAGAACCTAGTGAATGGATTAATCCATTAATATGGATTAACTAGTGGAAGCTATAGGCAGGTGGGGAATGTCTGGAAGAGGTGGATCAGTGGAGGCGTCCCTTTGAGGTTTTATATTTTGTCCCTGGTGAGCTGAGTGCTCTGATTTCTGTTTTCATGGCCTGAGTGGATTTCCTCTGCCACACCCTTCAGCCATGGTGTTCTGCCTCAGTCTGAGCCCACAAGCACGGCATTGATCATCTATGGATTGAGACCTCTGAAACTGTGGGCCCAGATAAACTTTTCCTCCTCTGCATTTTTCTGGTCGGGTCTTTTGGTCACAGTAACAAAAAAAGTTAACTAAACAGAAATTATTACCAAAAAGTGGGGTTGTTGCTGTGAGTAACATGACTATGGTTCAGAAGCCTTTGGAGATGGTTTGGGGGTGGGGAGGAATCTTGAAGTTTAGAGATACTATGTCCTGAGACTTGCTGTAAGGCTCAATTTAAAGGTGATGGAATAATCAATTTGGTGGAGGAAATTTCAAGGTCAGCACAGCATTCAGGCAGTGGCACGAATATTGCTGGTGGATTTTACACAAGTTTGCTGTGGTAATCAGGAACAGGAAGATTTTTAAATCTTGTAGTTTGACCAGAAAAGTGCAAGTAAAACTGGGGCTAAGGTATTTGTGGTTGTTAAAGATATTACAAGTCACTAAAGAGATGTTAAATATTTTACCCAGAGACATAGGAAAGATGGCTTGAAGGCATCTCAGAAACCTGCAAGACCACAAGAATGGGGTCAAAATTGTAATGGGTTGCCCCCCAGGTATGTATGTTAAAATATACCCTATCATCATGTATATCTAAATAAATTCTATATCTAACAAATTATATATTTGTTATATATAAATATATATATAATATATATCATATAATTTTTATATCTGAAAAATTAAAAAAAAAAAAAGAAAGAAAGAAACTGGCAAGACCACAAACATCTCAGGCTCAGGGGTGTAAAAGTAAAAATTTCTTTGAGAAGAGACCATGAGACACCTTGCTCATGTGAGGGAGCCTCTGAAGTTTTCTCATCATGCTCAGCTGCCCAGGCCCTCAGAGGCTGATGGTCTCAGAAGGTTTGGCTTCTGCTTGAGATAGTGGAAGATCTTGGTGTCAACCAAATAGCCCTGGTTCTGCTGGATTGCAGGATGCTGGAATTAGGAGTTGTGGAGTCTTCCACCAAGATTGTAAAGAAGACCGGAGAGGCCAGGCAAAGTGTAGCAGGGTCAGAGTCCTGTGGGCAGTCCCTGAGACGACAATGTGTGAAGATGGGAGAAGGAGGCCAGACCTACAATGGAGACCCTAAAGATCAGTAGATGCCAGTAGTGTGGAATGTCTGTCAAGGAAAGATGCAGGATTAGAGCTGAGGCACGCTAGGAGAGAGGCCACTGGGGCTGTAATCAGCAAGATTATAGGGACAGAACTACACAAACTCTTTGGCGAGAATCACGATGCCATATGCCCCAGATGCTGGACATGGAGCTATAGAACATGTTTGCCCAGAAGAAATTCTGTCTTGCTTTGGTCCCATCCCTTGTTTACATATGTGCTTGTCTCTCTCTTGTGGAATAGAAATGTTTACTCTGGATGTATGTAACTTGCTTTTGATCTTCATTCAAAGTTTGCCTTGAGTCTCAGATGAGATTTTGGACTTGGACTTTTAGGGCGTTGGCTAGAATTATTAATACACTAGGGAGTCTTAGAAATGAACTAAATGTATTTTTGCTTTTGTGAGATGGGCATGAACTTTTGGGGACTAGGGGTTGAATGTTGTGATTTGGATGTGAGTTGTCACCCAAAAGCTTATGTGGGGGACAGTGTGAAATGACAGAGGTGAAAAGATTAGAGGTGTAATCATCAGTGGGTTAATCCACTGAAACAGATTAACTGGGCAGTAACAATAGGCCAACAGAGTAAGACTGGAGGAAATGAGTCACTGGGGGTGGGTTTATATTCTGTCCCTGGTGAGAAGAGCTCTGTCTCCCTCCATTTCCTGTTTGCCATGTCCTGAGAAGCTTTCTTTTGCCATGACATTTCACCATGATGTTCTGCCTCACCTTGAACCCGGAACTACAGAGTCAGCCAACCACGAACTCAGAAACCTGCAAGGCCACAAGAATAGGATCAAAATTGTAATGGGTTGCACCCCAGGTATGTATGTCAAAATATACCCTATCGTCACGTATATCTAAATAAATTGTATATCTAACAAATTATATGTTTGTTATATATATAAATGATATAATTTTTATATCTAACAAATTAAAAAGATAGAAAGAAAGAAACTGGCAAAACTACAAACATCTCAGTTTATGAAGCCATAAACCCCAAATCAACTTTTCTTCCTCTAATTGTTCTCATCGGGTCTTTGGGGGTACAATGATGAAAAGATTGACTAAATCCCAGTCATTAAACCAAAACTCTTGAAACCAAAGTCTCTCTGAAATGAAAGAGTTTATTGAGTTGTTAAGGATTAAGATGCTAGGACCAGATCCAGGGACTCTTAACTTCCCACAGCAATTCCAGCAGTGGTAAAATGTCCACTGTACCTAAAGCTAAGAGCATTTTTACATTGAAAATTTGGAGAAGAAAAGCATAAGTTGCTTACATTGAACCGACTTTGGCTGTACATAAGACGGGGAGGATAGTGCCAAGTGGAAGGAGCTTTGGGATGGGACAGTGCATTGAAGGCAGTACTTATTGCCTGTGGATTGGTTGAGGTTGTGAGCAGGATGGGGAGGCACCCAGGGAGTCAGGATGGGATTTGAGTTAAGGTTCTAGCATGCTTTCAGGAGTGTGAAACAGTCTTTGGTTGTTTTAGGTTAGGATCCGTTAATCGATTCACTCCTTCCATCTCTCTTCCTCTCCATCTCTGGCCCTCTGTAATTAAACTTAGTACACATCTGAATTTCTTTTTTAGCACAGGATAAGGATTTAAATTATATACTCTAAAAAAGAGGGAATCATTCTTTAAATGTTTTCTTAAAAACAAACAACATTTTTGAATGATTAAATTATTATAGATGCATTTACCTGAGGGGGAAAAAATATCTAGTAGATAGAATTCAAGTCAACTTGTCTAAATAAGGTTTCCCCAATTTTCCAGACTACTTCTTAAAGTTTTTTTCTTCATTTTAATGAAACTGGCAAATACATAGACTAGTTCAGCTTTCCATTATGTACAACCACAGAGCACCCTTTTAGATTTTAAACAAAAAAAACTATTTGATGGCACCTGATACCATAACATCATTCTGAAAAATGCTGATTTTTGGATAGCACAAAAGATAGCACAAAAGATCCTAAAGATAGCACAAAGAAATATATACAATAAACATAAAGTAAGAACTGAATCAAATGGGCCAACAGAGAACTGGGAGAAGAAAGAGGAAGGCAGGAATAGAATCAGAGAAAATGAGTCCCAGACACTCAAGGGACAGCCTGTGACAGCAGAAACTGCCTGGCCTGAAATTTGGTCTGACCCAGAGTTTTAACATGAAACTTTAGCATAAAACTGAAAGATCCTATCTCCTGAAGATTCTGGAAATCTTAGTCAATTTTTAAATGAAACTAAAGATTAAAGCTTAGTTCTGGACACACAGGCAAGAGAAGTCCATGAGCCTGTTAAATTATACTAGATTTTTTTTATTATTGCCCGACAGTTATGCAGTTTATGCCCCAAGTTATTCATATTGTTCTTCTCAAATTGGTGAAGACTGCTATTGTGGAGATGAAGAGGAGTAGAGTGCAAAGGTAAGTCCTGAGGTGGCAGGCATGGCTGCACCTCAAGCCACAGGTGATGGGTTCAAAGTGGGGAGCCTCATTTTTTTACCTCAAATTCTTATTTATCAGTTGAAAACCATATCTGATGACATGAAATCTCATCATTTACTTTTGTATTTTGTTTCTTTTTCTTTCTTTCTTTTTTTTAATTCTTTTTAACTTCTTAATTGATATAAAATCTCACAGGATCTCCGTGACAAACTTTCTTCTCCAAGGGGAATGGTTTACATGTTCCGTAAATAAACAGGTCAGTAAAAACACCCAGCTTAAACTACAAAGAAGTTTCCTTCTTTGATTGAATAAAACATTCTTTAGCAACTATTAGGGTAATGCATTATTATAGCTTTATTCTTTAATGCATTCCCCAGTACCTCATGCTTACCTCAACAACAGGATGTCTCACTTATACTGTATGTGTCCATCTATGCCACTAGACCATCTCCCTAGAAGTGAGTGGCAAACTTCACCTACATTTCTGGAACTCCATGGTTAACAAAGTAGAGAAAGTCAGGGAGAAATGTTGATTTAATGCACATGAACTCCATGCATGGTCTTTGAGGGCAAGACTGCATACCTTGATCACTGCTATATTCTCAATACGTGGTTGAGATGCAGCACATAGCAGATCCCTATGTATTTAATGAATGAATTAACTAATTGATATCTTAATTAAGGAATGCATATATTCATCCAATATCATTCTCTTGAATCTTTTGCCAGAATTTAAATATCCAAATGCAAGTCAAAAAAAGATGGTCATTTTGACATTTTGTCCATACATTGCTGGGTTAGTCAGCTTTTTGTCACTGCGACAAAATACCTAAGAAAATTTATGTGGAGGAGAAAAGACTTATTTTGACTCATTATTTCATAGTTTTCAATTCATACTCACTTACCTCCATCACTGTGATCTTGTGGTGAGGCATAACATCATGGTGGGAGGCATATGGCAGAGTAGAGTACCTCATGGTGACCAAGAGACAGAGAGACAGGAAGGGCCCAAGGACAAAATATTTACTTCAAAATATTTACTTCACCTTCAGTGACCTACCTCATTTAACTAGGCTCCATCTTCTACAGTTTCCACCACATCCTAATAGTTCATTTAGCAACGAATCCATCAATGAATTAATGCATTGATGAAATCAGAGACTTCATGATCCAATCAGTCCTAAAAGCCCCAAATCTGAATATTGCTATTTTGGGGACCAAGCCTTCAATGCATAAGCTTTTTGGGGACCATTCCAGTTCCAAACCACAACATCTGCATGGTGGATGTATCTAGACATTTGATGTTATGAATCTAAATGACTGCATATTATTTCTGTGGATATTTCATTGTTATTAGGTACAATCATTTTCAGTCATTTTCTTTGTTAGCACTGTTTGTTAACTCCCTTTATATAAAATTGAAAAATAGGATTTCTAATTTTATTCCTTTCTAGGTAAGAGCTATTGTGTGCTGGGTAAATCAGGATGCTGAGTACACACAATTTTTCTGTTATTGTTTCTTAGCTGACATGCCCTCCTGCTCTGGGAAACCTGAAGTTGCTGCTTGTGATCCCATTCCAGAACTTTATGTCATCAGGGGTGACCATGTCCTGGTTTCATGCTTGTGAAGTAACTTTCTTCTGGTCAGAAATATTCATTTGCTGCAGTAAGCCACAACAAAAGCAATGCTCTTTTCACCTTCTGGAAGCAATTACAAAAGTAAGCAGGGACAAAGTAGGGTCTTCTAAGCTATTAAAAGCATGATTTTTTACATTCACATATAAAAACATGCTTATCAGATATTTTTAGCAACTATATTTTATTAACTGGAAGGCTAATAGAATGACAGTAAAGTGATAATAGACGTGCAAACTTGTAACACTGACTTGAGACATTGAGAAATTTGATGTGCCATTCAAATCATAAAAAAAAATCTTATTGCTAGGCTCTATGGTACATGCCTATTATCTCAGCAAATCAGGAGACTGACGCAGAAAGATCACAAGTTCAAGACCAGTCTCAGCAACCTAGTGAGACCTGTCTCAAAATAAAAAATAAAAGGATTGGGTATATAGCTCCATCACGAAGTGCCCCATGCACACATATAAGATGTATTTGTGTGTGTGTGTGTGTGTGTGTGTGTGTGTGTATTCTAGACATATATAAAAATACATTATTAATTGTAGGCTTTAAAGCATTTAGGCATATGCTATTTTAACTAAAGTCTCAATCTTTTCAAATACTATAGTATAAAGTACCGTGTGCATGTAAATAGATAGATGTAATTTAGATGTGAATAGATATGGAAATTCATATATAGTCAGTCTCAACTTTCAAAAAGTAACATAATACAAACTATTGCATTTCCTTATGTACACATATGTAGCCAAACTTTCATTTTAAATTATTAGAGTATGAATTACTTCATATTACAGATGTTTCTGATACATTTGCTTTTGTTTGAAAAATTTTGTACACGATACCATTTGTAGCTTTGAAGTCAAATATTTAATTGCTATTATAACAAATCCTCAAACAATGACCTAGATAAGATACAGGAAAGAGTAACTAAATGTTAGTACATACATTTTGTTTACAAAGAATCATTATTAATAATGCCAACTAAATCTGCTTTTGTCTCATATCATATTCTCTAAAAGAATGTTTTCTAGCCTGCCAGAATGCTCTGATGAATAGAGTGGATAATGTTACTATACACAGATAAATGAAATAATTTTCTATGTTTGATAAATGCTAAAATGTTTAGGTTCTGGAAGAAATCTCATTTTCATCTTGTCAAGAATTTCCTTGCTCATCAGTTATATTTCAGGAAAATCCCAAACTCATATTTCTTCATTCTTCACATTTAGTTTACTGAAGATTTCTTGGACAAGAGCATCTTGATTCTCTGCTTGCTTTGTGGAGTCTTTCCAAAGTTGTTTTCTTTGAAAAGGAAATTTTCCTTTGGCATCAAGCCAAATTCTAGACTTCAGTTTGGTGATTATCTTACATATTTGAATAGAAGATTTTAAACTGGGGTCAAAAGCAAAGGGATCTTACAGATACTGTTTCCAAATAGAACCATTGTTACAACTGCACGCTGAACTGAGTAAGAACAGAGTAGTTAAGAACACAAAAGAAAGATGCTGCTTTCTTATAAGAAAAGCAGTTGAAACAAACCTTGTGAGTTTACTGTTGTTCTCTTTCCTCAAAAATCTCCATGAAAATTAAACTGACAACGTTATGCTATCAGGGTTGCATAAATATCAACAAATGTTGAATTTGTCATATATCCACATTTAACTTCCAATTGTTAAGTCATTTAAAAAAACCAAAAAGATATAAATGTTGTTGCATGACATACTATATATACCACC